TTTGTCCCATCTCTTCCTAAAGCAGAGCTTGGCATGGCTGTCCAGATAGATTATCGTCTCGTCTGTGAACACCACGTCGTCGAAAGTCTCCCCCAGTAACTTCACCCGCTGACACCACTCCAGTCGTCTATCACGATTGGCTGGCCGAATTACCTGTGTTTTATATGTATATTAGTTGGGAATTTCGGGCAATGCCGCGGACAATTTTTTCTTGTACATTTGGTACGACAATAGCCGTGACACAAGGTTACACGAATGAACTGGGGTGTGTTTCTGCAGTTTTAAATGCCTGAAGTATAAAATAGTGATTCAAATTTGCTAATGTGGGATATTATGTGCCATGTGTCAATATCATACAGATTGCCTTATTCAGAATATTTCTAGTTTTGCCGCCCCAAAATTGCATTAGGTGCCTTTAAACTCCAGATATTGCTAAAAAAATGTACATTTAACTCAGCGCTTACCATAAAATTCAAAACTCGAATTTTGGAGTTATAATAAGGAGTAAGAGAGGGCATTTTATCGCCCTTTTGTTAAAAACAAACATATTTAAATTCGTTGACCCAGCAGCCATTGTATTTGCTACATGTGCACGAGAGTTTATGTAAATATTGCCCAATAAATGTAGTGAACATAAAGTCTTTATGTACAGGTCCAGTCAGGACAGATGTAACGTTAGATATCGCTACAATGGGACACAACATTGCACAAAGAATACTCTTGGTGACTTGGTCCTTATGTTATAAGCCACAATGTTGATTTAATACTGACCTGGCAGTACTTTGCAGCACTTTTCACCCACCCAATCCTGTAGCGACACTTCTTGATGGTCGAGACGGACACAGACAGACCATACCTATGCAAAGGAACACTTGTCAGTCCAAATTGCGTGACAGTTAAAAAGAAATTAAAAAAAAAAGAACGTTCCATACCAATCCGATGAAAATATTTTTTTAAACGACGTACCTATCAACCAGCATTCTCTGTAGGTCCCTGGCCGTCAGTTCATCATTCTTCTTCAATGAATCGTCGATAAAATTCTGATGCTCCACCTGAAGCGCTGCTATTCCACTGCGTCCTGGCCTAGGGTACACAATTGCTCCAGTTGCGGCAATCCTTTTTTTTATTTTGCTAACTGTTTGCCGGCAACCAGCCAAACCCTCCTTATGTAAAATCCTCTCAATCTCGTTCGGCCCTACACCCTGATTGAGAAGAGTTATCACGCGGAAAATGGACACAGGCGGGAGACCCTGTGGCATGGCGTGGCTGATTTTGTAACTACTCAAACTAAACTAAACTTGACAAAGAAGACATCCTAAGCCATGTCGCTTGGGCTTGGTGGCATATTGTTGCAACCGCATGCTTTGATGCTAAGAGTCTGCATGCTTTGATGCTAAGAGTAACAATGCCATATTGATTGCTGAATGTGCCCCCCACCTGTTAGACAAGTTTTGGCGAATTTTTAATGTTTACCGACCAAGCTGTTAATTGTTCCATGTTAGAGTCGGTGGCTTTTTTAAGTTTGCCGACATCTTCACACCTTGCTAGCCAAGCTTCCATATCGGCCCCCACTCGCACACGCTGTTCAACATAACAAAAGATTACTTCCACATTCGAGTATACTGTCTTTTGTAATGAGTCGGCATAAATGGAAGGACTTAGCCACCGTCTCACACAAGCTGTCAGTATGGCACGACCGTCACGTCTGTCTGAGTCAGCTGCCGTTAAAAGCATAATTCTCCTCTGGTTTCCTGACGAGAAAACGTGGGCCGATTGCCCTACCAAGCGAGTTATCCCTGTCGAGCACAGGGGAAACCTGAAGAAGGGGGGCTGGACGCCGGTGGTTTTCGACGGGAAGCCAACGAAGGGATACATCGTGGAATATTCTGGTATGTATTCGAGTTGGTTGCTATCTGAAAAGTCTCCGAGGTTTATGCACGCGCATCGACGCTGTTTGTTCATATTTCTTCTTGTATCCTTGATATTGTAAAGTCAAGTATACTCCTGTCATGTTGATTGAAAAATTGAAATTATATAATTTTCTGGTTCCGAAATAAGTTGAATCACGCAGGCAGAAAAAGTAGTGTATTTCGCAATTGTTTCAACCGTTGCTATCCGCTTAATGCTCCAACCTCATTTTATATGTTTTTTTTTATTTTAGATGACAAAGATGTAGTCATGAATGCCATTATCAAAATTGATAATGAGGACTACATGTCGACATTACCGAGATCGGAGCAAGATGCAGTTGGAGACTTGGAAGTACGGCCACAGATCGCCCACCCGACAAGCGCCGAAGTCCCCCCAGTCGCCGAAGTCCCCCCAGCCCCAGTCGCCGAAGTCCCCCAAAACGAGCAGACCGACCAGCAAGGAAAACAGAAGACAAAAAAAGGAGGGAAAAGGAAGCAACCCGAAGGGGACTCCTCCACCAAACCCAAAAAGAAGAAACAGGCAGTGCCTAGGAACACGGTAGGAATTGACCCTCTCTTCTAACGGTGTTTTCATATTTGATGGAGCTCTGTGTAGGCTAAATTGCATGGTTGTAACCTTTATTTTCACGCCGTGCTTCCTATGCGCTTTTATTCTTGAACCTCCTTGGCCAAACAGTGCCCCAACTTTGAACGGTCCTTCTTTTTATTTTTGCTCCCTTCAGTTGTTTGTAATGAGTTTAGAATTAGAAACAAGGAGTGGATTCTAGAACATTGTAGCCTTCTTTTGATCTCGTGTTGCAACGGGAAAGCCATTACAAGTCACACCGGCTACGTGAATCCCCGTTAGATGTTAACGTACTTGTCTGTTGTTTTTTTACCACAAATTTTACTCATTACAAGCAAATATGCTTTACAGAGAGCTGGCCACCACGCCTTGATTGACGTCACCGGTGCCACCCCGTGCATAGTCCCAATGAACCAGATTGAGGGGTGGAAGACGGTGGACCTGTTGCAGGATGTAGAATTCAAGTTCTCCAACAGCAAGAGGCGGGGAAAATTGATCATGACATCAGGTAAACACAAATCTTTTTTGTACTTTGGGAGAGTAATTTGTGGTAGAAAACGGTTTAATTTTCTATGGTACAATTTTCTATGGTGTTGTCATATTACAAGACCTTGACACATTCAACCGGTTTTTCTAGTTTGTGTTGTTTCAGGTTTACTCCAAAACAATAGAACAGAACAGTCATGTTTCTTTCATTACCTGATTTTTGTTGTTTCAGTATCGCAAGAGACCCCCCCCCCCAACGGAATATACACAAATATACTAGTATCACCTATTGACACCTACCATTATTTTTTTTTAGAAACTGGGGACGTCCTCTCATACATGCGGGACAAAATCATGGAGGGGAAGGAGAACCTGCAACCAGCAGGGAAAGAATCGACCCCAAAGAAAAGCGGCAATAAGCAGGTGTGTTTCCGTTACTAACTCCACTTTTGCACCCGTGAGGAAATACCAATTTTTATTTACAAAGATTATCTTTGCTGTTCCTACCAAATATTCTTGCTGCAACGATATGTCTGCAAAGCCTAACGTTTGATGATATATGGGTTTTCACTCCATTTGAAAGCATAATTGTTAAGATTGTTATTATATTTAATTTACATGAAGAATCCATCTGAGATATACAAGGCTCTCTTTTTTAATTAGTGTCTCCTTTTCCACGTGCCTTTTTAGGCTGCAAGGCGTCTACACCGCACAGCTACACCAGCATATGTGCAGATGGCTCCTGGGGAAACCAACTGTTCAGGTGGGGCATCAGCCAGTGCCCTCCGTGACCACACTAACATCATAACTTTAACCCCTCCTAGAGTAACACAGACTCAACCAACTCCGTCGCTTACTTCAACTCCTGTTGTAACACAGACTGAACCCACTCATCCTCCAACTCCTGTTGTAACACAGACTGAACCCACTCATCCCCCAACTCCTGTTGTAACACAGACTGAACCCACTCATCCTCCTAATCCAACTCCTGTTGTAACACAGACTGAACCCACTCATCCTCCTAATCCAACTCCTGTTGTAACACAGACTGAACCCACTTCGTTTCCTCAGACTTCTGAGCTTGACTCTGAGCTTTTTCGACATTTTCGATTTTGCTGATAACAGCTCTAATGAAGTTGCAGGGCTACCTTCTTTCTCCATTCCAACCCTCACTCCCGACCTTAACACACTGATCTACGGTACTAACCAGGCGGACGTCCCTCCAGAACAGTTGGCTCGTCAAAGCTTTCAGCTTATGCAACACGTTGCGCAACAAGTGGAGCAGCAGTGGATCCTTCTGGCCACCCTGATGCCGCCCGGAAGCCAGTCCGGCCGTCAGCCAGGCAGCCAGCCCAGCAGCAAGTCCAGTAGCCAGCCCAGCAGCAAGTCCAGCCGCCAGCCCAGCAGCCAGCCCAGGAAGGGAAATGGCACAAGAATTAAGTGGAAGAAGCCAGGTGAAGAGCTAAGTGAGTTGACTGGCCCCACTATTTTGGGTCTTATGAAAAAAAGCCATGGCTATGCCCATTTTTCCGCAAACTGTGCAAAGTTGCTGTTTTCTGGGCCAGAACTGGTCAGCCGGAACGTAAGGGGGGTAGCAGGCAGTCCTGGCCTAGATGAGGGCAAGATAGACTTGATCAAGTCATACATAGAGCTACACTACAAGGTTGACATAGAGGATGTGTGGGGCGAATGTAGGAACCGTATCAATGGATGGGGTCGGTATCTCAAGATAAATGGTGTTCCGAGTGAAGAGTCATACCAGCAGCAATCCAGATAAATTGTAGAAGTTTGAATAGACCCATTTCGAGTGTTGTTATGAAACAACTGAGCATAGTTCGTTGTCTGCACGATGTTGCTCAATGTAGTGTGTATGGTTTTACATTTTGCGTAAAATCTTAACTTGCTGCTATTACTAGTAGTTGACAAAGCATGAAAAATGTTTGTACATGTATATGCATATCTGTAAGTCTCTTCAGCATTTTTGCAACGTGTTCAGGTTCACAGTGTGAATATTATCGGTATATGGTTTTACATTTTGCATAAAATCTTGCTGCTATTAGTTGACAAAGTATGAAAAATGTTTGTACATGTATATGCATATCTGTAAGTCTCCTCAGCATTTTTGCAACATGTTCAGGTTTACAGTGTGAATTATCGGAATGCCACACAATTACAAAGGAAAATCCATTGTTGTATCCAATATGTCGTCAACTCGTAATAATTTTTTTGAATAAAGTTTCGACATTCTGAGATCGTCAGTGCGTTGTTTGTCTTTGTGTAATACCAATACGGTGCTCGTTTCTAATACCCCCCCCCCCATCTCATCGGGACGATAGAGTCATTCCGGACTATCGTATAATTAAGAGTTTTTAAGACTAAAAATGGCGCCCCTAAAAAATGGTGACTGAATATTCGTATTAAATTTCAAAAATGCCGTGGTGATTTTTGGGATGTTTTTTTTGGAAGTTCGAAGTCCAGGAGACGAAACTTAATGGCTTTAAAATGTGCAGTGAGATGACCCCTGTAACGAAAGAAAACACGATGTCAGCTTCAACACATCTCCATAATATAACCATACGTCCCACCAAAGGCCACCAAATAACGTCATAGTAGTAATGCCAATATGTTTTTTACATTGTGTGTGAAACGTTGCTACTTGTGAGAAATACCGAGGTGTCCGTCGCCTTCAAACATACATGGAGATTGCGACAGTAGCTAACATAAACAGCAAGTTGTACCACACTTGGTTGAACCAAGGACATTATACAGAACCTACCTGTCTCGTATTTGTTGAACAGTTAGCTGTTGACAAACTTGCGCTGTTCGTGGGCGTTCCTATAGGAGCACACCGGCAGGAATTCATCGTAGAACTACAAATGTAGCGTCTTTAATATATCAGTTCCCACGTACTTTTTTCCCCACAAGGGGGATCGAGGGTTTACCACGCCCACCGAGGAAACTGAACGCACATTAAAGGGAAGCCGCTGGCTTGGCGCCATGGCGCGCCAAACCACAACATAACAAACAAAGCACAATGTCTCGTGTTCGGTTCACGTAAATTGGCCATTGTTTAAATATAAATTTCGTGTGCTGACGCCTACAAATGTATCTCCTGAAATACAGCGACGTATTTTTTCATGTCCGCGCTAGCCGCCATTCCAGATCAGAGATTCTCATTAATATGCAAGCAGCTACGCTCTGATTGGTTCACCTTAGATGACCTGCGCTCTGATTGGCTAGAACGAAGCCGAGTGCATGCTGGGGCGCCCTTCCACGCGCGAAGTGCAGAGAGCTCGATCTCGAGATTGCCACATTTACGCTGGTTTCTACCTTATTTCTACGACTAATTAGCAACATCCTGGTGACGAAATGTGTACTCAAAAGAAATTTCGGGAAAACATATACGTACATGTGGATTTGTGGTGCCTTTGGCGTAATTTTGTTGGTCACATACAACGTAATGTAACACGGAAGTGCACGGAGTCGGAGTCGCAGCACGGCTTTCCGTCCCACTCTAAACAAAACTCCAAGGACATAACAAAACTCCCCAAAACTGGTCAATAAGTAGCCATAAAATGCTTGTGGGCACGTCTAAATATGCTGCCTTTTTTCGAGTGTTATAGGAATTTTTCGCGGTGTTTTTTGCACATCCCTAACGTTACCTCACGCCCGCCGCCTATTATGCACGGCGGACCGGGGCAGTTTAATATAACTTCAGATCATCTAGGATCGCATATTCGGTCGTAAAATAAGTTAACAAACAGAGAAAAACAGCAAAATAAAGTTGACAAACTATAGAAACGCTTGCCTGGGCAACAGTGACAAAACAAAATGTCGATCTAATTGATGCGCCGGTGATCGTTAAAACGTTTTAAACGTTACAATATAGAAAAATGCAGGCTAGATCAACGTTCCTTCCGCTGTTCCAGCGGTGTGTATCGGTAATTTCCCGCCCCGCATGAGGTAAATTAGTACTCCTCCCACTATTCCTATGATGTTACCGCGCCTGCATATGAATGGAGAAGTCTAACGGAAAAGAAACGCGTTACTTTCGGAAAAGTAACGGAAAACTTTCGGAAAAGTAACCAGTTAATAACGGAAAACTAACGGGAAAAAAACGGAAAAGTAACGGCCGTTAGGGTAACTATAACGCGAACGGTACTGTACTCTGTTGCAAGGGAGATACAAAATTGTATGGCTCAGACCCAAATAGAACTTAGCAATGAAGGAGAAAAAGACACTTATGAGACATGGCATACACACAAACTAAATTATGATTTGTTTATTTATTTGTATAATCATTTAATATTGAGTTGTTAATTATATTGTATTGAATTGTATTGTTAATTTTTTTACTTATCAGCTGCGACCACCCTCATTCACTCGACCTTGTTAAAAAGCGGCCAATTGCAAGTCGTCTAAACAAGCCATTGATTCTAAATGAAAGCTATCAATGACTTCGCTTGATAATGTCTTACATGTAGGTTGAATTATTATGCCATGTAGCAATAGTTGAGAAAATGAAAAATCACCAAAAGATACAAACTGTACTTCAGCTTTAGATATTGTGTTACCTTGCAATTTGCATACATGAGTTACAATGTATATGTATGTTTAATCTGAAATGCTTGAGATTTTTTGTGGGTTGGCTTTAAT